GCCCCCCCCGCAGCCCCCCCCCCCCCCCCCGGTGTTCCTCCTTTCCTCGGAGGTTTTACCTTTTTGTGCATGTCTAGAGAGGAATACGTCGCCGAAAAATTAGAAATTTCTCCCCGCCGACGGGGAGGGGGGGGGGGGCTTCGAAATATCCACAACGATCCTTGACATGTTCTTCAACAAGGTCCGAGCTGGTTGTGTGGAGAGGACCCCAAAACACAACTTGTTCCGGCGCCTACAGGGCCGGTTCTGTGCACAGAGGAAGTATGTTCACCCCAACTCCCAGGAAACCCCAATGACCCGCCTCTCCGCTTGCGGGATGCGTTGCACAGACGAACTTCCACCATTTTACGGCATACCGAAAAAGCATGGGAAGAGGGTTGGGCACGACGCTGACCAAACGCACACGGAACCCCAAGCTTGGGTGCAAAGGAAGACAGTCGAAAAAATGACCCCAAGAGTTGGGTTCAACATTAATAGGAGGGGGGGATAACCGTTCCATCACCCACTACTGACCTTCTCGTCCTTGAAGCCGACACGGTTGTAGCTGTCCGACTGGAGAATCTTTCGTCTCGCCGCCTTCTTGTCGACGACGTCCGCCGTAGACGACATGGAAACCTTTGATGTGGCCCCTCGACGGCACTGCCGGTAGTGGTAGTTGTGGTGCACGGGGCAGGGAAAGGTAGGGCATTCTTGAGGTCACCAAAAAACAAAAGCGCAAGTCACATGTAAACATTAACACAGCAGAGACCGCAAGACGCAGAAGAGAGAGAGAGACACACACACAGACAGGCAGACAGAGAAATACATACACATGCGCATCCACAGGAAAACAGAGATAAAGAGAGTGCTCTGCTGAGACCGTTCCGTCGTCAGCACGCACGCCCCGATCTACTGAACGCGGGGCTTTACAGCTGAATAGACTAGGGGGTAGAGGCCCCCAACCCAGCCGTATCGTCTGGCCTGGCGGCAACCTCACAGCAGCTAGCGCTGTTGTGTATGTTCTTTGTTTCTCCTCTTCATCCATCCGCACATCATTACTCAAACATGAGTGCCCTCGACATTGACATGGCTATGTACGGCCACACCGCCCGGTAGTCGAACGAGATATGTAGGCAACGTTTGTAGTGTCCCGAATCAACCCCACGTTCCCTTTCGGCAATCGACGATACGACCGGATACGTTCCCCTCTGGCAATCCGGTCGGCTCGTCGGTTGCCAGAGGGGAACGTCGTGTTCATTCGGGACAATGCAGGTGTTGCCTATCGTTCGACTACCGGGCGGTGTGGTCGTACAGCAGTAGCCATGTCAATGTCGAGGGCACTCATGGTGGGGTGATGGGTGTGTGGGATGGATGACTACACTGCTGTAGGAGAAACAAAGAAAGTATAGCGCAAGCTGCTAGGCTATCATGCAAAGGGCATATCGGAAGAATCCAAAGACGGCATGGCGATATGAGACTGATGGAGGTGGCGACTCCTGGTTCGGGGAGTTATTGATGTATTTTGCGTCATTGCATGCATGCCTTGCACGCCAACAAACATGCAAACCCAGCCCCCCTCCGCGTCTGGCACGTCTCTTTTTCCCGTGAATGCCGAGAGAAAACCACCAGGGAGGAATATCTCTTATGCATCCCCAAGCGACATCAAAGCGAATCGCCATCGTGGTCCTCTAAGCGGAAACTTCATCATCACACCAAGGTGTGGTTTGGATTTTTATCTGGTCCTTTTACCTTGTGCACCACGTCTTTCCGAGCAACCCCGCAGCTTTGCATAGGAACTCTACAAAGCTGTCGACACATGTTCCCTTGCTGTATTGTATTTCCCCCACCACGAAAAAAAGCGCCATCCCGGAGAGCATGGGTGAGAGCTCAAAGGAACAAGAGGGCAACGGTGTGACTATCCCGTCACTTCATCGGCAACACGCGTCCCCTGGTAGTTCTCGTACACAGCACCGTCTCTTGGTCCGCTCTGCCTGCTCCTTCAGAAGCGCCACCACACGGCGCCCGCCGGGGATAGTCTCGTCTAGATGTCGGTTTCAAGTTGGCAGGAGAGCTCACCCTTGACGCTGCCTGCTGCCTACTACACCCCATCTTACCCACCTCTCTCCGTCCCGCCCTGCTTACCTGCGCGGGGTTGGTATGCCTCGGCAACGAGGGCGCCAGGAAAGCAGCGACCGAGCCGGCCATGGCCAGCGTGCCCACGACGGTGCCCTTCATCTTGCACGGGCGGTGTTTTGCAAACCTCCTGCTTGCTGCTGCTGCTGCTGCTGCACGGCGGCCTGTTGTTGTGTAGGAGCAACGCCGATAGGTCGAGACAGAAGCACAGATAATTCACTGCAGGCGGTTAAGACGCTGTCCGGGGAGCAGAAGGGGGCGATGCAAAGCAGTCCGGGAGCGTGTAGGGAGGCAGGGAGCTGCAGCTGGATGGCAAGGCGCACCCAGCCGGAGCGCCAGAGCGGTCGCCCGTGGCAAATATATTGTTGCATGCGGGATGGGGGGGCGAGTCCAATATCTATTTTACGGTGCCGCTACCCATGGTTGAAAGGAACAAGGGCACTGATGTCTGCTGATGTGCTGGACATCCACAGCAGGTGGCAGGTGGGTGCCCTGCTCAGCCAGGCACCGACTCATACCGACAAAGGCGCGCTGACGGCAGCAAGCAAAGCCCAAACGAGTGGCTAGTGCAGAGCATCGACAAGGAAGGCTTGGTTGGCAGTCTGCTTTCGACCAACAATGGCGTCGTGCGTCGCCGGGACGCGGCGTGCTCGATCGATGCACCGCACTACAAGTACTGCTGTGGAAGTTGAAGGCAGGAGTAGTAGCACCAACAGCGGTGGTGGGTCGCCTAGCCCGGTGGTGGATCTCGACGAGCTCGTACACGGGACTGGGCAGTGGGAGAACATGCAAGGGGTCATTCGGAGGTGATTTGTGTGTTGGAAAGCCATGTATATACTTGTACATATTTCTTATTGGATGAAGAACGGATACAACCGTTTGATTTTTCAAATATCCTCGATGGTGCGTCGTTGTGTCGGTCGTGCCGCATGCACACCAACACTGCATCAGCTTGTACAGACACAGCAGTACCTTCCTGCCTGCTCAAGCCGCTCGTGATAGAGGACGTGATGCACTGTCTCCTTTTCCTGCGCCAAAAGAAGTCATAGAGCTGGCGTTTCACTAGCAACGTCCCCCGGGTAGGAAGACCTTGGCACATGACGGGGTCCGCCGTCTTGCTTCCCCAGAGGGCGGTAGACCTCCGTTGGATGATGTCGCCTAATTGCGCGAAATAATCTACACTTGATACAAACAGGAGAGGACTACCTTTTTGGGCTCAAACGCCGAGCCAAGCCTTACTATTTATAATATTAACACTGCATGGGTAGCACTTCTACAAGTTTGCTCGCGTGATTTTCTGACTGTACCGCGCTCTAAGAATCGATCAAGCTGCTTCGGTAACTATGTTGTAGCGCCTCTTCTTCTTGGACTTATCCATGCTGCTGCCGTCTTTCAGAACTGATATTTACATTATACCCCCACATGGCCCCCGTGCTTGCCACAATGCAATACGCCTTCCAGCACCATCAAGACCCTGCTAGAAACGCAAGCCGAGCACCGGCAGCAGATTGCGGCGCACGACAAACAGATGCGGGGCATGCAGGCCCTGCTCGTCGGCCGAAAAAGAACTGATTCAGACAAGGTTCGCAGGGGAGATTTGGCTCGGGCGACAGCCGTCGCTGCTGAAACCGGTGCCGTGCTGGCCAAGCTTCGAAAGGATGTGGCGACCGTCAGGGTAAGAAACAGGGGCGCCGCGAGTGGTGAGAGGGTTTTGTACTGAGATTTGACCCACTTCTTTCAGAACCAATCACCTTTAGGCTGTGTGGAAGTCTCTTTCCGACCACAGGTGCTGGTTGTTGTTGCTTTCCGTTGTTTTCTCTGCTCTTGATCAACGCTTTCCCCAGCCAACGCACACAGATCCCAAGCACACACGATCAACCCGATGTACGCACACTGAACAGAAGGGCACATGCCTCGGCATAAAGCCCAAATCTTGCATGACGTCACTTCATAGCATCTGACGACGCCAAGTAACCATGGCTAAGCACGCTCATATGTCTACCTCCTATTACCATAACAGTTTGGGGGGTGGGGGGAGTACGGCCCGATATTTTGTGGTGACTCTGCGCATTGCGGCATTTTTTTTACCCTGATGCGCGCGGCAGCCCACCCGTGCGCCGCAACCCGGCCATTTTCATCCCCTGGAAGAATTGATAGTGACGGCAAACAGGGTAGTGGAACGGTGTTGCGTGCTATCGCATTGCCGTTTCCATGTGCCCAACTTCCACCTAAGCACACGAGTGTCGAGTCTACCGCTGGGTTTCGTATTTTTTTCGCGGCATGTGTGGCCTGCCTTCTGTGTGACCCCGGCCGGTACGTCCAGCATTATACCGCAAGTGTTCTCAAGGCAAAATAATACCACCACTGTTCCGTCTGGGGCCGGTGGCTCCTGGCCGCTCTCCGCTGCCGCCGTTGTCTTCTCACGCCTTCCACAACGCGCGACGTGCTGCCGGACGGACGGGCAGGAAGACGCGCGGGCCGAGACGAACGATCTCGAGACACGGATAGAGGGCAAGGCCTCCAGGGAGCACGTCAAGGCTTGCCTCGACGGAAAGGCCAACCAAGAGGACGTGGCAACGCTGCGGGGTCGCATTGACAGGTACGCACCGCTTGCGAGGGCGCGGTCTAGAGGAACCGGGGGGAAGTTGTGCCGCATGTTCCTGATCCATGGGTAAGACACAGAAAGTCGAAATCGCGCACACCCCAGCCAATCTCCCGGGTTCCCTTGCTGCAGCCCTGGTCGCTGGTGGTTGTGGGGTGGGCTACTCCTGTTTCCACTTCCCCAACCACGGAAGCACACTCGATTAACAAATCCGCGTCCGCATCGCGTATTGTAACCCTTTTTTTGCCACATGCGTGTCAAGGTAAAGCTGCATAGAAACAGACGGCCGCGGCATGCGCGTCAGCGGTGCGACACCGGCGACCCTCTCTGTGGCTTGGCCTCGAAACCAGGGCTCAGGTACAAGGGAAGCTATGCTTTGCCTGGCCCACACCACCGTCGCCCCCCCGCTCCCCCCCCTCGCTCGAGCCGGGCTTCTTTCCGATTTTGCGGACATGCTAACAAAAAAAAAAAAAAAACTCCTGGTGTGTTGCGGTACTGTTTTTTCTTTAGGCTGTCCGCGGCAACGGCAGGGCTTGCTGCTGAGACGAGGGGTGTCCAGGCGCTGCGCGACCAGGCGATGTCGACCGAGAAACGCTTGGCAGAGGTGGAGGCCAGGGTACAAGGGTGTGAGGCCCACGCCGTGCGGTCAGACCCGGCGGCGGTTGCCCTCAGGTGCGCGCGCGCGTGTGTGTGTGTTTGCCTTTAATATTAGCATCGACCGCGCTTACGGGCTGACCAATGAAAAGATGTCAGTGCCAGTGGGTGAACCAAGGTGCCCGGATTAAAATGAGCGCCGACCGCGCTAACCGGCTGACCAATGAAGAAACGTCCGTGCCAGCGGGTAAAATCAAGGTCCCCCTGGTGTGTGTGTGGCTGGCGTTGCCCTGGAGGAGAAAGGGACGTGAGAAGGAGCCCTTGCCAGCCGGAGGGGAGGGTGGGTGGGTGGGTGCTCTTTTCGTTGTCTGACCTGGCACCACCGCCGCCATGCGGCTGCCTGTAGAAACTTCATGGCGACGTACGACAGGGAGCGGTTTGTAGATTAAGATAAAGAACAACGGGTCTTAGTTAACAACAACGGGAAAGAGGGCGGGTTTTAGCTTAATTTATACCTGGTACTTTTGTGATCTTGGTGTATGTGGCGCTCGCAGGGCGCCAAAGACCGATGTTCCTCTCCGGCAGCACAAAAAACTTGTCACCGACTTGTCGCCGAGGAGCGTAGTATGCTTTATGTCTCTCTTTTCTTGAGCAATCGACTCCGATGTGTGTATCGGCTGTGCAGACAACTTTGAGGGACGGGAATACTCTTGTTGCGGTTGATTGTCCGGTAGGGTACCGCCGGCCTTTGCCCCAAACCAGTTCCTCTCCTGCTCCGGCTGTTCTGTCGGTCTTCCCTGCTTGCCGTCTCTCTTGGCGCCGCTCTTCTACGCTGTGCAGGATCGAAACCATTTCCTCGGGGCTGGAGGGCTTGAGCAAGCGAGTGGACCACAAAGCCAGCGCCTCGGCCACGGAACGTGCGCTCGAGAACAAGGCCGATAAGGCGAGCGGGAGCGGTATAGCCTGCGTTGGCGAACCTCCGAGCCTTGACCTTTCCAGGGCAGGCAGCTGGTGCTGTTCCGGGAAATTGTTATAGCTTAAGCCCCGCTTTCCAGAGCAGGAAGCTGCTGCTGTTCCAAGAAACTACATGTATTATTGCTTGTTGGTGCGAGCAGACCAGCTTTCTCATGTTGGTGCTCCATCGCTGTTCCACAACAACACGCGATGAAGCTAGTCTCATCGACACCAGCCTCCGCCGCACCCCCTCTCCGTGGTTTCCTCCTCCCCCCACCCCCAGTCGGTTCTCATTGCCGCTCTCAAGTCCAAAGCCGATCGGGCCGACCTATCAGCCATCGAAGCCTCGGCGGCCTCGCTCCTCGAGGTCTCCCGAGAGCGCGCCGCCGCCGCCGCCGCAGCCACCGCCGCCGCCGCGTCTCTCAGGCTCCGCGCCGACGGCCACGATAAGGCCCTGGCCCGGCTAACGGCGGCGGCGGCGGCGGCGGCGGCGGCCAACGAACAGAAGAAGTCGAGCGGCGACAAGAGGGCGGCGGAGGAGGAGGCGGCCTGGCGCCGCTGCGAGAAGGGGTTCCGGCGAATCGCCAAGAGGGTGGACAGCGTGGAGGGGGGCCTGGCCGCCCTGGCGACGGCGTCGGCGTCGCTCGCCGCTAGGGCCGCCAAGACAGCTGACGCAGTCGAGAGGTGAGGGGCTGGGGGGGTGCGCAGGGAAATCGCTGTTGCTTGTGCTGTTTTTTCGCGCCAAAGCGATGCCTCACCTGCGTTGCTGTTGTTCGGCCACGTAGCTCGTATCTTGCAGCAGTCTTTGACCTGACGTTTCCCTTGGTTTGGGCGCCAGGGATCGCGAGAGGTCCCAGGGCAAGGCCGAATCTATCACGGATGCCGTACGGGCGCTGGAAGGGCGCTTGGAAGAGTGGGAGCCGTCCTGCCAGCTCGAGGCGGTGCAGCGGCTCGTCGATAACCAGGCGAGAAGAGACCATCATCGTTGACCTCGCAGCCTTGATGCGCCCGAGCAATTTCTTGTTTCGTGTTACTTAATGAGTACAAGTATCTGTTTTCGTTGGTTGCCTGGTGAGTCTGTTTGTGTTTGAGAACCACTTCGCCTCGTTCATCGCGTCTTGTGCCCGGTGGTTTGTCGTTGGCCTGTCTTGTCTGTCTCGTCTGTCTGTCTGTCTGTCCCTCTCTCTGTCCCTCTCTCGGTCACCACCAACTTTTGTTTTGTCTCTGGATCTTCCAGCTCCGGTCGCCCCCGCCCTTGCAATGCATCCCGGGCTCCTACACGCTCCTTGTTCACGGGTGCGTGACCAGAACAATATAAGGTCTCTAGCTCCCTCCTCCTCCTCCTCCTCCTCCTCCTCCTCCTCCTCCTCCTCCTCCTCCTCGTATGGTACGATAGCACCGCGCACCTTCCCTTACTTGAATTTTCTGGTTGAAACCTGTACAGGACGGCACGGTCTATGCCTACTTTTCTCACCTGTGGCCTTTCTTACCCTCGTTGACACTCTGCCGCGACACCATCGCAGGTGTCGGCAGCAGTAGCGAAGGAGAGCACGGCCGACGCCGCCGCAGCGCGGCTGTCGGCGTTGGAGCGTGAGGTTCGTGGGATTCTCTCCGAGCTGTCGGACAGGCCGGCCGATCGGAGCGGACCAACGGCGGCGGCGGCGGCGGCGGCGGCGGCGGCACCAGACAGGCGGTTGTCGGCACGCCGGCACGGGGGGACGCGAAATCAGCGACGGCGCCTCCACCACCACCACAGCCGCGGCAGCGTCGACGGGGCCACCGACGGGACCGCCGCCCGAGGCACCGGCGGCGGGCGTACGCCCTCAGAGCGAGATTCTCGATCTAACGAGGGAGGAAGAGGGGTTCCAGAGCCGCTTGCGGAGGAGAATCGGGTGCGTCGAGGGAGTTGGGTGGTGGACGGGGAGGGCGGGGAGTACAGAGGGGTAGGGGAAGGAAGGAGAGGGGAGAGCCGGGGAGAAAGGGCGAGGGAAAGGGTGCGAAGAGGAGGAGCATCGGAGGGACGAGCAGGCAGCGGCGGCAGAGACGGGGTTGCACTCGCAACGCCGCCGGCAGGGGACTTCGGGGAGATCTCCTCTCCCGGAAGCAGCAGCAGCAGCAGCAGCGAAACGCCTCGCCGCCGACCATCTTCGGCGTCGGGACCGAGCGGCGGCGGCGGCGGCGGCGGCAGCGGCGGCGGCGGAGAACGACAAGCCGTCGGAGCAGGCGGCGCGATCGCTCGACGAGCCGGCAGAGTTGCGACGCGTTGTTCCTCCTGCGCGCCCTCTTCTTCGTGCTCTCCGTGTCGTTGCCGGGAGTTGTACCGAGCGGAGGATCGGTCCGCCCCGCCGGACGACGCCTCGCAAGCGGCAGCGGCGACGGCGGCGGTTTTAGTCGCGCCGGCGACACGAGCGGAGGTATTGGTACCGGCAGCGGTTTCATCGAGGGGACACGCCAACCTCAAAGAAAGCACCAGGAAAAGAAGCGCGGGCGGCGGCGGCGGCGGCGGCGGCGGCGGCGGCAGCGGCGGCGGTGGCGGCGGCTGCCCCTGCGTCAGTTTCGACCCCCCCCCTACAGATAAAAAAGTGGAACGGAACGACGACGATGCGTCCGGTAAAACGCCGGAGGCATCGGTCAGCGCGCGACCGGGCGCAGTCCGTCCGCTCGCTTCCCCGCGAGGCCGCGACAAGCACCCTGCTAGGGGCGACGGCGGTAGCTGTAGCGGCGGCGGACGTCGTTGTTTTCGTCGGCAAGGCGGCAGCAGCAACCAACGGCAGGGTTCGGCGGGGGAGGGGGACAAGGGGCCGCCGCCGCCGCCGCCGCCGGCCGGGGGAGACGTAGACGGGATTGTCGAAGAGGCCGGGACGTACCCGCGTAGCTCGAGCGCCATCGGACGAACAAGAGGCCCCTCTTTGGCTGTTTCATCGTCGAGGAGGGACGTGGGGGCCGGGACCTCGGCGGTCGCAAGCCGAATCGAAGAGCTGCGGAGGGAGAAGGAGGCGCTCAGAGAGGTCGCTACACGTGCCCTTTTCGCGTAGTGTTGTGGTTTCGTTTTTTCTCATCGACCGCGCTGCTATAAATCTGTTGACCTAAATAGTCAGTTGTAGGTTATGGCTTGAATCACGAACCGACACACGGAACGCTTTCGATAGTGAAGAAAGGGTTCTCGGCGGAGATCGGACGGTGGAGTCCGGTAGGGGTGTTCGGGGTAGGGGGGGGGATCTTCAGGCCGAAAAGTGCCGCTTTTTCGCTGGAAAATGGCAGGTGAAGAAGATCATTCTTGTGTTCACTGCTTCACACGTATCAACAAGTACATGTGAAAATTTTTTGCCCTTGGGTCTTGCCCTGTTTACTTTTAAGCCGCTCCGCTTCGGGGAAGGGCTCCTGATGTCGCCCCCCCCCAAGATCGAGACATCTTGTCGCGTGTTAAGGCTTTGGGCACCTGCGAGATCCGCACGCGAGTGGTGCTTCCTCTGTCCATACGGCGACGATTTTGACTCTCTCCGTTCCCTCACTCCTTTTCCATGTTGCTAGAAACCTCGAAATCAGACAAATCGCGCAGCCACTCCAACGCGCATCAAATGCTCATGATGGACCAAGTACACTTGGCACGGACATCAAGGATATAGCT